CATACAAATTGCTTCTCATTTTTCCCACTGCTTATTACTATTAACTCTATTTTCAAATATGGTGTAACCTATTAGAATCTTGAATTACCATCACGAATCACTCTGAAATTCACATAATTAGACAGAAGTAGCTTGCTATAGGTAGGGTTTTGTCCTRTGTTCTGCTCTGCAAGAAAAAGCTGGCTATATATAGGAAGTCATAGCTGAATTCTAARAGGGGCAGAATAAAATTAACTTTGACAATGTGTTTTGCTTCCCAGAAAACATTCACCTGCATCTATATATGTGTATAAATGAGGGGTCAGTTTTGGCACACAGGATTTGTTAGTGTGGGTTTGGTATAAATGCCTGTCTTGGAATAGCTCTTAAATGGCCATATCACCAACTGGTAATGTGACCCTCTCTGCCCAATGCTGTCTGTCTGTATGTGGGTACCAGCAGAGGAAGTTTCCTGGTGTCCTGTGCCAGCTCCTGTGCTTCTAAAGCAGAGTTCATCTAAAAATGCTCCCATGTGAATAATTAATTTAAAACGTGCTCTGAATTATTCTGTGTTTAGCTGTGGTTTCATCATTGGGAAATGGGGAACGAGAATTCCTCTAGATGAGGATGATGCTTGCTTTCAAASAGGAGCTCTAATGAGTTACTGCTGCATAGTTTCAGTCAGCTGCTTGCTTTAGGAGTACCTCGAAGACAAGTCCCCTCTTAATCAAGTCTGTGTTTTGGCAGTGGCCTGAGAGTGCCCTCTGTGGGAGTTAAAAGAAAGAATTTCCTACAGAGAAAGAAACAGAACTTATATAGTGACCTGGAAACAAAATATTTTTCGTTTTAATGTGGCAGGTGTATTAACACTGCTTGTGGTTTTAAAACATTATGTATCTTAGCCAGAATGCATGTTGATAGTACATATTRTTAATACATCCCATCAACAAATTTATCCATCCCACTTGCAAAGGTTATTTAGCTCCTCTGAACCCATAAACAGGTAATTCTTTAAATAGCAGCCAAAGGATTGAAAACACAAACAGTAGTGACCACAGCCGGGTTTAGCAGATACACATATCTACAGGCAGTAAATTACAACACAAGGAAAACATGAGTCAGTATAAGAATTCAGGCAGCTCTACTGTTTTTCCAGGAAAGATGAGCAGTCATGCCAAGGAAGTTATAAACATTTCTGGGAACAGCAGTCCCAGCAACAGGTTCTAACTCTTAGTGGTTTGTGGATGTTTTAAAGACAAATCAGAACAGACYCAGTATCAGGAAAASMGTCAATGCCTTTTAATTCTGTAAARGGCAAAAACTAAAGCACAAGAAGTTCTGAGTAGTTGTACTATAAAATACATGAAATATAAGGAATACAGAGAGAGATGGAAGTTATTGAGTGGGGGGTTTGGATAGTCTTAGCATAGATTATAAGAGGTCATAAATTTTGGCTACATTGTAAAGGGCTTTTTAATTTTTTTTTTCACCTTGCCCTACAACATATATGTAGAGCCTTGAAAACCCAGTGGGATATTGAAGATGCAGGAAACACAAAATCCAACATTTCCTGAATTAAGTTTCAATTCTTAAGTCATGTTGCAAGAGGTAACAAACAGCTTGACTTTGCAATATGCCATGGGCCACAGATACCACTTACTTGGTTTAACTAGCACRTTAGTGTAACTCTCGTGAGAGCATTGGGGCACTCAGTGTTTCTGCAAATAAATCCTTTTATTTTGGGGCTAATAGCTAAGTGTCTACGTTTGATAATCTGATGTGAAATCATGAGGAGGCCCTRAAGTTGGAATTACTCCTTTGGGACATCCTTTCTACTCAGACAGATGATCAGAAGCCTCTGAAAATGAGGGAGTTTTAGAATTGAAATTAGGTCTCTAAGCTACTTTAGGAAACTGAAGTTTTAGGATAAGTCCTTATCCTTTTAGGATAAGTCCTAATTTCTTTACCCTACATATGCAACACTGTTCCTTCCTCTTTCAGAGAGGCATTTTGTGATGGACAGGAGTAAAAGAGAACACAGTGATGGACTTGTAACAGCGAGCTGCAGGGAAGACCAAGGCACCTGTGAGGAGGACAGCGAGGAGGAGCACCCGTACACTTGTATGGCATCGGATGAATGTGTGTACGATCTCATCCTGGGGGAGGAGGAGGAGGAGGAGGAGGAGAAAAGGAAACACTGCAGGTCCTTTATCATGAACAGGCCACCAGCCCCTGCCCCCCGCCCCCTGTGCTCCCCGGTCAGAGAGGAGAACACTCCCTACATTGTGCAAGGTTGGTGCTGCTGCTTTGTCTGTATTTTCTGGGAGAATGTGGAATCTCTACTCGTTGATGAGCAACATTTTCTAAAAGACCATGATCCCTGTTCAGTTGCCTTCATGCCAACATGTTAGTTTCAGTCAACCTATTCTCACCCTTCAAATGAGCTGAGAACATCTCTGAATAATTTTCAGTTTGCATCTGAGATCGTATCACAGTTTTTATTTAGCTTTTAAAAARTTATGACAATATGATGGAAAATGAAGAATCACTGGGCTAGCTGTGAGTGAATCTCACAGCAAGTGATATAGAATACATGATAGTGATATAGTTACAGCAATGTGATATAGAATGTGCTATTTGAATTGCCTTTTAAGCTTCTTTATCAAAATGGATTTAGTTAAGGCTGAAATCAGTCTCAGAATTACTTTTTTTTCTGATGAGAAGACTTCTCTTTTCTAGGAGAAATACTTGTGTGAGGATTCCACTTTCAAGTATTGTTTCTCCAAATCTAGATGCTAAAAATGGGCTTTTCTAGGTAGGATCATCATATTTCTAGGAGGAAAGATTAGGTCCTTTTACCACTTCTGTGAAAAATTRTTTTGAGCTATTTCATGGAAATACAAGAAGACCAGAAGGGTTTCAGGTATCTTTGTAGTCTAATTCAGCCTGAAACCAAATTTGAAAGTAGCAAAAGGAATACAGTGAACAAACTGCAGAGATCTCTGTATAAGCCCCCAGATCCATCCTGCCTGCATCTCCAGCCTCTTCTGCAAAAGCCAATGTACAAGAATATGCATAAGAATAAATGGTAAAAAAATAGGCTGACAAAGGACACCATTAGATTTCTTACTTCATGCAATGCATGGTTTGCACTAAAAAAGAATTAAAACTACCCAAAGCATCCAACCAAATACAGAGGAGCACCTCCTCTTTCATGACTGTCTGTGATGAAATCAGTCAGTGATTTCTTTTATTCATCCTAGCTAGATCTCTTCCTCCAAGTTCCAGGTTAGAGCCAGAATGCATGAGCTAGTGAATTCATCATTTAGTTGCTCTTTCTTCAGCATATTCAGAAGGTAACATGTATGATTAATTGGAGTGTAATCCAAAAATGGATGGGTGTAAGGGGACTCTTACAGCTACAAAAGTCATGAAATGGCTGCTTTTACTGAGGTTGYTTGAACAGTGTCTCAAATCTGGGTYCACCATCATCACAGACARGCCAGTGACTTGGAAACCCTTCCTGTGAAGATGTTTCATTTGGAAGATTGCTTTTACTGTCTTTTACTGCACTGGGGTGTTTCTGCTTTGTTTATTGGCTAAGGCAGATGCTAACAGAGTAACATCCCTGATGGGGCTGTGGTTCACCCTGTGTATATATTCACGTATGCACACACTCACATTTGTTACTTTTGCTTTTATAAGCAAGTAATGGTAGACAAATTCATCTCCTGTAGTTCTGTGAAATCAGCTTCTGGCTCATGTTCTTTTGCTTACACAGTATGTGGGGGGAAATAGAAACACTTCAAGAAAGCTTCTGTTGACCACTCAGGTCTCTGTTTTCCTACCTGCCCTGCTCGTTCCAGATGTAGAATATTTCATTTTTGTCCAGGGACTCTTGAGATAGCTAGAGAAATTTTAGATAGAAGGGATATATCTTCAGGTGAAAGATTTTTCTTGTACTTGGATTGGCAATTTTTGCCCTCCACATTGGTTAAAAAACTCCCTCTCCAGTCCAACAACATCTCGATTTCCAGTTTATTGTTTTAGAACTGCTTATATTTGATTTTTAAAAGATTGTTCCATCTGTATGAACCAGAAAATTTTATTCCAATCCATCATTAAAATCTGCATGTGTTTGCAGCTATTCCTTTATGATTTAATCAGTGTAAAATACTCTAGTTAATGCATGTACACATTTTTCATCCAGCAAATAAATTGATAGTAGTTTTGGGGATTGTTTTCATCTATTATAATAAAGAGTATTGCAGATGTTGCAAAGTCAAATAATGAAAAAGTTAGAATTGCATTACAACATTACAATGCAGTAATAAGTAGGTAGCCATAYGCAGCTATTTATCACAGATATTTTATTTCATCWATTGTTTAAAGTGGGTRAGCATAAAATGTTTTTCRTTCTCATTCTGTTTACAATATARTTCATGSCTGCCSTAGGCCCCATRTGTTGTTTCAGACCCTCCTGTTTATAAACCCTTTGACTCTGCATCCAMTGAGTTTTTAAATGCCCAGTATGAAGTAACTGAGATTCTTGAGGTGAACAGCATTACACAGTGCTTTACTCATTCAAAGCAGAGATACTATTGATTTTAGTGGCCACTACRAGTTCCCAGAACTTCAAATTAAATCATTAGTGTGTCTGCCTGATGTAAGGGTACTGACTATTCACAAGCCTGATTCCTGGCTTAAGTGACCCTTTGGCTWGGGCTTTGTTGGAAAGAGAAGTCCTGTCTTGCAGAGCAACTTTTAGTTACTTAACTGAGCCATCCTTCCTTCCTCTGTATTTTAATTTATAAAACAAATCATTTAATATTCCTGTAAGAAATGGATTGTCTTCACTGCACGGTTCTGGTTGATCWTCAGAACTGTTCCCTTGTGGCATTCAGTGAAAAACAGGTCCTGTAGAAAAACAGAATGGAGTACAATGCACAGAGGAGGGCTGTATATAGGTGTGTATTTGCCCACAAATGGATCCCCCTGTACTTTGGGAGTTCATGGAGAGCTTCATGCCCCAAAGATTTCAGKGTCTGCTGTGATAGTGCCATGCAGAGGTGCAAGAGGAGGAATGTTTTGTTTTGTTTTGATTTTTGTTGGGGTTTTTCTTGCCATTTATGTGCCCAAAGATGAGCTCATTTATTGGGGTTGGGGGAGTAAGACGCAAGCATTGTGTAGCAGAAATGCCTTTTGCCTCTTGGATTGTATGCAGGTGACTCTCTTTAAATTTTYTTTATATCCATCTGGGCAAATCAAGTGACTGATTTTCCCTGAGTGCTTYCACCACACTTGGAGTGAAAGCCATGACATTACAAAAGTGTATCTACTCCTTTAAGTAAAAGTGGTGGTACTTCCATGAGAATAGCAGCAAAGAAGAAAGCAAGCAAATAGGTTTTTGTGTAAAGAGCAGCTTTCAAATACATGGAATTTCAAATACATGGAACTCAAGCTTACACTGGATAGAAAGCCTGCTATTGGTAGATTACCCCACTTGGTGCTCTGCAGAACTGGTTAGGGAAACTCTTGATCTATAGAAAGCAAAGATGACAAGAGTCACTTTCAGAGCAAGGGCTGCACTCCAAATCCTAGCCAGTAAACACTCAATGATGCAAGTTGTCATAACTGAGCTACCACAATTTACAGTTTGAGCATCTGCCTTGAATTTGCTGACAAATAAATTCTGGGAAACGTGGGTGAGTTGAAAGATTTAAAACATAAGTGTTCTGATTGCTTTTATTCAGTTTCATTTATTACATTTTCAGATTTTAATGAACATGCAAACTACTGAATTGAACACTGGTAAACAGATTGCATTATTAACAGAGAGTACATTTGTTCTTTAATTTAGACCACTGCAAGAACTCTGTCTTATGTGTGAAAGGCTCATCAGCCAGTGGAGCTGCAAATTGGTGCCAAGTAGTGCATTGTCCAGATGGTGTGCACTCTTACTGTGCTCCCTTACTGTTCCTCAGGTGCTTAGAATTTCTCTGTAGGTTATTTCAGTGTTTTGTTTAATTGTGAGCTGCCAAAACAACTGTTAAATAAACATCTGAAGGTGGTGTGTTTTCAGTTTAGAGTGCAGTTTTAATGCTCAAATTTGATTGAGCTGRAAGCCAAAGTCCCCAGTGTATTTGTAGGTCAGGTGCACGAGTTTCTGTAATATCCCCCTGTAATTTCTGAATTTCTGACCTRCTAGGACTCCCTCAAGGTTAAGGATTACATTACTGTCCTGTTTAATTCATTTATCTCTCGTCACAGTATGAAAGGGTTTCTCTGCAGCAAAGATACCTGTCCTACAACAGCATAAGTAAAACTTCCAATGCTGTAGCCTTTATTTCTTAAATAGCCTCTCACAAATCTCTGAAGGAATGTATTTCCCCTCTGTGCACTGAAAACATTTTGTTATTTAAAGATAGCTGTCTGTGGGACCTCACACTAGCGTTAAAAATTAGAAGTGGAAAAATATGTTTTCTAGTTACTGTTCCAGAGGAGAATTACATTCTCATTGCTCATCAAAATCGCAGGATATGCAGAAAAAGTGGCATCCAGTGGATATTTTTAGGGAGGCAGAATATCTTACATACAGAACAGACAGAATAAACCCACTGAAATGAAAAAATAAAATGCAGAACAGAACTGTTAGTGTCTTGGAAACTTATCAAGCTGATTATTTGGGACTACAGTGATTACATCCCGAGTCAGTCATTCTTATTATGCCAATTGTTTAAATGCTCTAAAGCTGGGGTTTCCAAAGTTAAGCCTCAGAGCTCATGCAAACTGCAAAACGTTTATGTCCCACAGAGGGATTTTGTAGTACTGTCCTACAGTGAGTATGAAGCACTGCACTGCAGATGAATTTCATTATGTATTCCTAACTTAAGGGTGTTTTTCCATGAGTGAAATAGTAGGAATCCCTATTTGGCTGGCAGTTAGGCTGTTTTTACAGACCCAGTTGGGAGTGGTATACCAACTTCACCCACTGTATTCATTCAATCAGATTCTTTTGCTATCTGAACTTTGGTAGATTGAAACAAGTTTGGAATAAAATACACAGAGAAAAAAAATATTTATAGGATGCTGCCTGGTTGCAAACCAAACTGTTCMAAWKSCMWWWTT